AAGTGATGCATCTCTGAGGAAGACAGACAAATGTAAGGGCCAAAATCAGCAAAACTAACTGCATTCCAGAATCTCAGGAGGAATGCTGAAGGAAAATTTTGCATTGTATGTTTGCAGGAGAGTAACCCCAAGACAGGAGCCAAAAGGCGTGGAAATATTTGTCTCAAAGCACAGTTCAAAGCCCAGAGGCTCATGCCAGTGTTCTTCTTGGTTGATGCGCAGAGGCAGAGCCAACTTTTCTGAGCACGTTCACAAGGGATAACTGACTTCCATGGCTGCGAAGCCTAGGCTGGAGAAATCTCTGAGCCCAGGGAAGTCACCAGAATACACATGGACAGAGAATTATCTGCCTTTATGCAGACACTCCCAGGCCAGAGTCCATTTTCAGGCTATTCAGTGATTCCTCTGAGTAACACTGTCTATAAAATCATCCTATATTCAGCATTATAGACAATCCATGCTCCTCTCAGCAAGAGAAGTTCATTGGCCTCTACCTTGGCCTAATGCCGATCCAGAGCCAAACCCCTGATGGTCAGCTTACGTCCAGTTAGTGTAAGCAAGAAAATCTCTAGTCCTCACTCATTAACTCACTGATACATACTGCATCCATGCCTGGGACAGCCTTTGAAACCCGTGTCAAAGCTGGAAGCCCCTGGGTTGTGGCATGGATCCTGCATTTTAGTAATAGCTCCTTTGTTCCCCTAGGCTGTCTGACTGCAGAGAGATTACCACTTCTGCTTCTCAAAAATGCGGAGTTTTTTTCTACAAACTTCGAGAACATCCTGAAGTGGGAAACTGAAGGCGAGATACCTCCAGGCACAGTGTACAATGTCCAGTATAAAGAGTACGTAGGGTTTGTGTCTTCCTTGGTGACTTGTTTGAATAGGTTGTGAGACCAATACTTTCTGAGAAAAAAGGCCTAAGCTAGAAAAGCAGGCTTGGCTGCTAATTGTTGCTTGCTTTACTGCCACCAAAATGGCTGTTTGGAACAGAACCTAAGCAAAAGAACAGGGCCTTGGAGTTCATCTCAGCTGACAGGTGACCTTATGTCGGACGGGCAATTATTTGGGCAGAGGGCCGCTTACTGAGTTTTGGCAACCTACCAAGGGCCGCATGACAGGCAGCCCAGGGCAGATAAATATTAATTTTCTAAATTTTTTAGGGGCCCCGCAGGCCACATCTGGTCCCCCAGCCACATTTTGCCCACCCCTGCTGTATGTTAAGAAAAGTCACTAAGTTGCTCTGGAGACAAAAGTATGGCCCAGCTGACAATGGGGAATGGGCTGGAAGCTAGCAGCCTAGGCATCCAGTCCCAGTCCCTGTTCTGCCACTCACCTGTGACCCTTCTCTCTCTATCCCAGTTATCTTATTGGTAAAATGCAAATAATACTAGTGACCTGCCTTTAACAAGTGATTTGAGCTACAGAGATGAGGAATGGACTGTAACAAGTAAAACTTTGTTCGGGAGGGGAGACAGTTGGAAAACCTGAGCAAAAGCATGATTTCAGCAATATCCAGAAACTTGGCTTCATGACATTGTGTGGTACTTTTTCAGCCAGTTCTAATGGGCACATATCTTCTGCCCGTCAACCCCCAGAAGGGTTTAACAGTGCACTCAGGAGGGGTGTTTGAGAGCCAGATTTGAAACAGGGCAAATAATTCTACACCAGCTGCGCACACACGGACTCTGCATTGTCAGTTTTCCTGCAAGCCTGCTTTCTGCTCCCAGAGAAGAGCTTGTGTTTCTGTCCCCCTGTAACTGGATATGCCGTGCCTTCTCCAGCCCAGCAAGGGAGACTCCCTTGGCTTAATAGAGCTAGCAAAAAATCGCCAGGCAAGGTGATTCTTTGACAAGAAGACTCCTTCAAAGGTCATATGTTGCTTCCCACAAACCATGAGAGTCCCAAGGATTCACAGAACCCAAGTGGCTCCTCTGCATCCTCTCCAGTGGCTTCTCTGCATTTTGCACAGATCGCAACAGAACATTTCAACATGACAATTTGGGGCAAAATTAGAAACAGGGCACATGAGTCCTGGCTCCCAGGCTACCCTCCACTGCAGGCTTGTAACAGCAGGCAACACCTTCTGCAAGCAGAACTCATGCAGATTCCATAATCAGGCATGAGAAGCAAGGGGCAGCTCATTAAGTTTTTAGTACCCAGCTGTTCTTTAATTATAACAATCAATGCAAAAGCAGCAGGGAGCTGGAACAGCTGCCCTTGGATCAGGAGGAGGAGGGAAAGGCACAACTGCCCTTTGTTTGGAGGGAACTGAGAAGTAAGATAAGTCTGCCTTGAACAAATGACAATCTTAGGATCTGGGTCTGGTGGCATTATGAAGAGGCCCCAGGAGGGTGTTGGTTCCTGCTAGCTAGAGCCATCCTTTGCTTTTCATTCCATCTAGGAAGAGCACACATCAACTGCTGAAACTTCCTTAGTCTGATGAAGGGTTTTAGAACCAGAAAGCTTGCTTAGAAATTGTTCTCCAACTATTTAGTTGGTCTAATAAAAGATACCAGATTCACCCAAAGAACCTTGTCATCCTTTGCTTTAAGCACCCCAAAACAATCTTTCACCTGCCCATATTCTGGGATGAGAACCACACACTGCTCCTTTGCTAATGTCACTTCCTCATATGCAGAAAAACCGCAACCTCTGGGTTCTGAGAACTACAGCTGCTTTACTTTGGGTTGCATCTCAGGTCTGCCATCCCAAGAGCAGAGGCAGCTGGAGCTATGAGGGATCTAAAAACTAGGGACAGGCATTCAAAAAGCCTGAGTCTGAAATGATTCACGGATTACCAGAACGTAGCAAACCAGCTGCCTGTGCTTGCGGGCATATATTTGGGGTCCAGCTGTGTCCTGGGCAGGTTGCAAACGTCCAGTGAGACCTGTACAGTGCTTAAGGTCATTGTATGGCTAAGGGAACAATAAGGGTTTTCTTTTGTTTCTGAAACAGACAGATCAAAGAAAGACATTTATTTGCAGATCAGTCTGAAACTTTTTTTTTTCTGGCTTGTCTCACTAAAGTGAAAACCAAGAAAATGTTGTTTTGGTGCAGATGAAAGAATCTTTTTCAGGCATTTTTAGCCCTTTATTTTAAAATTAAATGTAGCTAAAATTAATCTGGAAATATGGTGAATGAAATACCAAATCGTTTCATTTAAAAATGTGGAAGCAACCTGTTCTTAAAAAGCACTTTACTTGCTGCAAAAACTTATTTTCCTTTTTTTTAACTCTTGGCCCAAGCCAGCACCGATAGCAAAGAGTTTCAGTGTAATGCAACTGCAATTTTTGGTGAATGAAGTATTCAGTTTGAAAAATGATGCCTAGTTCAATACCTTTGCCCCAATGGAGTATGTGAACTACCTATATTTACTATTGCCTCTGTGTTACTGATGATTTGTAAATGCACCAGTGTCAGTAGAAGATGTAAGAAAAGTTACTGTCTCTCATCAGAATCTGAAAAAAGGACTTTTAAAAGACCCAGAAATTATGCCCCAAGTATGCATACTAATTCATTCATAGATGGCTCAAAACCACTTTGAGTCTGGAATGTATGTCATCTGGGTCCTGGATTGGCTACTGACTTTGGGGTGAGTCATTTCCTTTCTGTGCCTCAGTTTGGCAGATTGAAAGCATTCACTTTGTCTTCTCTAAGGTATGGGGAGAAAAAATGGCTTAACAAAACCGAGTGCCAGAACATCTCACAGCGCTTTTGTAACCTCACGCATGAGACAGAAAACTTCACTGAGTACTACTACGCCAGAGTGCAGGCCATGGCGCCGAATGGCTACTCCTCGGACTGGGTCTGCTCCCAGAGATTTAAACCCAAACAGCATAGTAAGTGGCTCTGTGGAATCCATGGATGCTTGCAGGCTCCATCCTGCTGCCATTTGCAATGACATCAGTGTTGCAAGCCCAGATTCGTCCACAGGAACAAGATTGCCAGCTTTTCAACTCTGAAAGGGACTGTGCTGCTGGAGGTGGGGGGAAGGAGGGGGCTGAGAGGATGAGAAGGTGCTAAGGCCTACCCTGAAGTTTGTAGCTAAAGTGATGCTGGAGAAAAGACACTTGTGGCCTGCTCTGAAGGGATAAAGCAGTGGTTCCCAGACTAGAGATCACAGTCCCAAATGGGTCCTGAAATGCTACTGGAAAAATCAGGCTTGTACCTGGTTGCAAAACCTAGGATTGTGGTTGCCAGCCTAGGATTGGGGTTGCATACCCAGAAAGTTTGGGAACAGCTGGGAGACAGGAAATATGAGGGACAACAAAGATGGGCTTGATGGAGAGCTTACAAGCAGCCAGTGATCTGTCCCTGGAGGCTGAGAGAGAACAGAGCTTTTGGTGGTTAGGATCAGCAGCCAGACATGCTGCATGCCTCAAATGCCAAACCCCAGAGTGCATCTCTGTCACTGATGTGCAGTTTAACCTTGGGCAAGTGCCTCGGTGTCTCTGTACTTCAGTTCTCCTTTTCATAACATTGGGATAATGATAACTATCTCTGGTTCATGGAGGCATTTGAACACAGTGCTTGGGAAGAAGACTGAGAGCCTTCCACAAACACACCATAAAAGAGCCACATGATAGCCTTAATTATTAAAATATTCCTTTCACCAAAGCACAACACAGATGAATTTATACTATATATCAAGGCCATTCACTTGACTTTTTAAGGTTTGTGGTATCAAAGAGCTAATGCAGGCTGCTTTTAAATTATATGGTCATGGGCTGAATTAAACCTGACTAATTGCTGGGTGTAACACCCGAACTTCATTACCCATAAGCATAAAATGCAGTCAAACTCCGTTGTGGGACAGAGCCACAGGCATGGCTGGTTTAGGAGTTAGCTAGATAGGCCAAAGTGTGAAAGCCACACAGGGGTTTTAAGTCTATCTGGCAGATCTAGATGGTACAACATTTTAGCCAAAAATAGTGATATCATCACCTTCAATCTCATTAAATTACTTTTTCTGCTTTATCATTTCTAGCTAATATTGGGGCACCAGAGGTGAAGTATATTCCTAATGTTCGATCCATAAAGTTTCTCATTCAGCCTCCCTACACACCACTCAAAGATGAAGATGACCACCAGCTAAATGTTGAGGACATCTATAGCACTGTTGAGTACCATATGACAATTTTCAGCCAAAGCACCCAACAAGAGGTAAATCATGATTACTAACTTTTGGCTTTGGTAAAACCTGGCATGAATAAGACATCAAAATCAATGCATGGTGAATGGGGTTTCTGATAAACAAAAGAATTTTCAAAGAAGAGATCAGATCTGTCATTATTCCTTTCAAGTGTCAGCAACCCAAACCCAACTTCTGGGCTTCCACATAAGAGCCAAAGTGTGAAACTGTGATCTGGTTTCATTGCCTCCAGGAAGTGAAATACAAAAAGTGAACAGTATAATCATGAAATAAAATACCAGGTGGTTCTAAATTTAGGAGTTATTGGTAAATGAGTCTGGTAAGGATTGCATTTATGAAGTTATGAGATGCATGTTGAATTTGGCAATTCAAATCGTGGTAGTTTTATAATTTAGCCTATCTAAAATACAAATCTTTCTTTCCTTTTTTTCCTCTTTCTTTAAGCAGTGGACAAAGACTGAATACAACAAAGAATTTGAAGTTTCCCACTTGGAACCAGACACTGGATATAATGGGACAATATATATCCAGCACTTGCAGAAAAAGAGCAAAGCCCAAGTGTTTGAGGCTAGAACACTGCCAGGTTAGACTACTAAGTCTGCGCCTCTGAATTACAGGTTCCATTGAGATATCAAGTACACATTATGGGCAAGATTTTCTGCTGGTGTAAACTGGTATAGTTCCACTACCATCATTGGAACTGTATTGACTTTCCCAGCTTAGAATCTAGCTCTGTGAGTCTTTCAGGGCCACATACCTGTGGGTCCAGTACCTTAATACTGATTCCTGTTCACCTGGGCAAAGGTTGCACAAGCTGAGATGTAAGGAAAAGGGGTCGATAGTGATCATGACCCTGATCCTATTGGCTTCAAGAAGTATAAGGCCAGTGATTCTACAGCTGTGATCAGAGGAACACTGCAGGCCTGTATAGCACTAGCTATTGACCCAAAGAGAAGTAAATGGGTCCATGGTGCTGACCTATGTCCTCATTTCCCTTTGGACTGTCAAACTGGCCATGAAAAAAGCTAAAATAAATGAAATATTTCCCTGCTGTTACTCTTGTATGTAAGTCATTACTGGAGTAGACCTGGGGACACTCCAAGGAAAGAAGATCATCCATGTGAACATAAATAGGAGTGGAGGTGATTGTAATGGGTGGACAGATGTGGTATTCACAGGACACCCTCTTATTTAAGTAATGTTTTCATACTAAGTAATAATTGGTAGGGAGCATTGGTTAACGTTCTAATTCTCTGCCAGAGTTGTTTATTAGTTGGTCTGTTTTATATACCTGTATGTCTGTTTGCTCCATTACCAAAGGACGGTTTTAGCTCCTTGCTTCTCATCAGCCTCATACATTTTCTGGACTGTATTTTTAAGACTTTTGACTTTGGTGAATGAGCTGCAAAGAGTTTCACTTCCTTGATTGCAGCTTATCAGGGGCACATGAACGTACGCAACCAAATTATGGCTGTTATTCTCTGAACTGTATTCCAAAGTACCCACTAGTGAATGATTCATGGTTTTGTTTTTAAAATGTACTTTCACTTGGGGCAATAAGAGGTGGCTGTGGAGTGATGGGCATGTTCAGTCTCGAGGAGATGTTGCAATTGAGTTTTAAAAAAGAGAGCGATCGGTTATTCTCAGCAGCTCATGAGAAACGAACAGGAAGTTTTGGTCATAATTAGCAATAATAGGGAGTCTAGTGCTTAATGGCACAATTAAGTTCTAAACTTAAGAATTCTATTGGACTAGCTTGCCAATAAATTATTTCCAGTCTATCTCTCTGGAATTAAATGTTGTGGACTTCTTTTTCCCCACTGACCAGATAATACCTGGCTGCTCTTCTGTTTTGGATCACTTATATTCACTGCTGGACTGCTGTTTGCTGCAACATGTTATGTGATGTATATATATGTGAAACAACGCACTGCACATCCAAAGTCTTTGGTAAGTGCCCTTAAGCCGTGGCAGTAAATCCCTAAAATGCTTAATAGAATAATGACATCACCAACTGAGGAAGATAACTGTATAGCAGAAGTAACTGTATGAGGCATTTGTTAGTCTCCCATGGCAAGGCAGTCTGGTGAGCCTACACAGAAAAGATTTCTCTTTTTGTCATGGAGAAATGCAGACTACTAGGGTAACACAGATGTTAGCAGGTCTGAAGAATCTGAGTTAGGCTAGAAAACTAAGGAAGCAGGTTTATTTTTCTGAGAAGAAGGCAGGCTTTGAGGTAAGCTGCCAGAAGATTTAAAAAATCAGGGTTTCCATTTTCATTTGTCTTTATAACCAGAATTTTCAAAAGCCCCTACTGACTCTGGGTGCCTGACTGGCCAGAATTTAAACAGACTTGATTTTAGGAAAAATGGGTGCTCACTACTTTCTGAAAATTGGGCACCATTAATGATGTAGCAAGTTGTGGAGCTCAAAATGAAGGCACCCCAAATCACTAGCCACTAGTCACTTTTGAAATCCTTTGCCCACTTCTCTAGCCCTAGCCCAGAGCAGTATTGGTAGTCCTGTATGGTAAGTTAGTAGTCCTGCACTGGTAGTCCTGCAGGGCGATCCATCTCCACGTTCTGAGGTTGAAGCAAATCACTGCACAGGAAAGGAAAGAATTTTCTCCTTCACATCCAGGATTGTGCAGTTGTTCTGCATTGTGAAGCAGGATGCTTACCTTCTAGTGAAGCGTCATTGTGAGAGGTAGGATCCCAGAGCTACTGGGTCTGTGGATCAGATCCAGCAAAGCAGATCACAAGGTCCTATTAACATTTTTTCAAAGGGATTTTGCTCTAATATAAAGCAACCCCTGAAAATTCACAGGCTCAAAGTAACTGATTTAATATCTGTCTTCTTACAGGATTTCAAAGGGATTCTACCCTTCCAGCCTCTCTCAGTCACAGTGGAGCATATTTCATGCAAACCTGCTTTGCTCACCTCAAATGTGCCATTACCAAGCATTAGCCAGTGTCTGGAGCAGCCACATTCATTTGGTTCACCAGAAACTACCTATCAACAGCAAGCCAAAATGTCAGCATCCCAGCCCATTGCTCAGCTGCCTGACTGGGCCGGGGATTTTCCTTCCAAGAGAGTAACCGAGGACAACTTACCATGTAAAACAAAGAACAAACCTCTGGCCCTGACCTATGGGGTCTGCCTTGAAGACACAAACCAGACAGTGAAGGATGTTTCCCCTGAGAGGTTTGTCTGTGGCAAATTTATACTCCAGACTCCAAGCAGAACATCATCTAAAGAAACCTACAGGGAGAAGAGCCCAGAGCTGGTGGAGAAAACATTATGGGAGAGCAATGATATAAGGGGACCAGCATTCTTGCTGGGAAGCACAGGGCAAGCCCAGCAGCTTCAATTCCAGATGAACAGGGAGGAAGCTGAGCTGTATGCGCCTCAACTACCTTTGTCTTTGCTGGAAGGAGGAGGAGGTTACAGACAGCAGACTGTGGAACTGCTGCCGTTACTGTCCTCCATGACAATGGACACAAACTCTGTCCCAGAAACTGGATCTCTGGTGCCTTTACCCTCACCCTTTCCCCTTTCAGTTGGTACCTGTGACGATCTCCCTGGAGAAGACAGCACACCGCGCAAGATGCTATTAGATTCATTGTCACATTCAGAAGACAAACTGCCGCCCCCAGACTTTCAAACAACATATGTGCTAAGAACAGCAAAACAGTCAGGCGGCACAGACCTGAGCAGCACTGTGACTCAGGCCTCTGGCTCAGCCCAGGACAGTGACATGTCCCTCACTATGTTCTTCAGAGACTTGGATTTAAAGCTACAGTGGGAGTGTGCATTGGATGAAAACACACTGGTGTATTAGCAAAGTGATGAATGATATATCTAAGAGTTAGATTCTGCCAACCTTATTTACAATAGTGTGTCTTTTTCTGCACACAGTACCACTGAAATAAATATAACTGTGGAGTAAGGCACTGGTCAGCATGAATCTGTCACCAAGTTTCCACAGCGTGCTCATTATTATGCTATTATAGGCATATGTTTCTTTAATGTCATTGCTTCCAGGAACTCTCCATTATGTTTGCACTTCAATAATACCTCTGTATTTTTTAGACATTTCCAGATTCAAATTCAGCCCACTTTAAAACCCGCAACAGGGCTGAAACTCCAACCCCAGACTCAGCAGTCTCAAAAAATGAGGGGAGTTTGGAGCAGAATCCACTTTGCAGAGTTGAGTCCTGTCTTTCAGCACCAAGCCCCAGATCTACATATGCCCAAACCTTGAGGAGATTCAGATGTAAAGGAGTGCAAGGCTCAAAACAAGCCTTGTTCAGATGGGCTCTCATGCTCCATCATTTTCTCAGATGCTGATAAGGGACATAACAGTTTTAGAGCATGCAGATGGCTACTATCCAAGGGGGATTGACCAGAGCATCTTGTGCAACCTCACATAAGAACAATGGCTAGTCTAAGGTACGGTTGGCTAGGGTCAGCGTAACATCAGTTTAATACCTAGCACATTGTCCTCCCTCCTGAACCTGTAGAAGTGACTTAATTATCTGGTGTATATTCTCCAAATTCAACGTTTGTGCCTTAAATGAGGACTGACCAGTGAAGACTAACTAAAGAAAGCAGGCATCACAGGGATGGTTGCTACTGCTGTACTGCTGGTTTGTTGCAACTGTTTCTATCAATACTTGTACATAAACATTTGCAAGAGGATACTCCAATTAGTCTGTGTACAATCCAACCCCTTATCTCCAGCCAGCATCCTTTCTTCTTTCAGTAGATTTTTCCTGTTGTGTTTCCTTGCACTTCTCACTGGCCTGGGAAATGAAGTGAGGAGCTAATAATCAGTAGTATTAAGAACTGGAGCTTAGAATAATACTGCACTGCACTTGTGCCTCTCTTGTACAATATAAACGTTTTTTATGTTTTGTTCCTTTTATCAAGTAAATTAAGATTACTAATTTTCATAAGCCAAGGTTGTCTTATCTTCATTTTATATGACTGCTGCGTTATCACCTGGTGTGTGCAATAGTTACAGTTCTAAAACACAAATGGGGTTTCGTGCGATAAGACTCAAACTGGAAACACGTAGGCAGAGTTAACATAAGTGTCACGTTAAGCCATAGGCCCATGGAACCAAGACCCTGGTACCCCAGCTTGAAAGGGCCACTAGACCCTTCAGCAGGGTGAGCACAGACACTGAAATGAAGAGGGAACCACAGGACAAGCACACAGATGAGTCCAAAGCCACATACTCAGGCACAATCCCTGTGATATCTGCCACATGATTAAGTAACACAGTGCCCAGGGCCTCCATGAGCCTTAAAACAGCCAAGGGCAATACAACCCCTGGGCCACTTCAGGTAAATACATAGAGTGTGCTGGCTGTCCAAATCCCTGCAATGCAAAGGCAGCTCCTGGTCTGTTGTGGGTGGCAATCCCTTGATTTGAGGATGATCACTGCCACAGCTCATTGATGGGTCCTGAGGTGATTTAAGAGCCCAATCTTTGAGCCACAGATCTATCTGCAGAAGTTGCAGGTTTTTCTGCAGGGGGGGAAGGCAGGGATTCCTCTTTTTCTCTTTCTTCCATGATTTCTTCCCTGCCGGGGTCAGTTGGTAGCCAGCTCCTCCTAACTCTTGATGTTGGCATCCTTTTTTTGATATAAACCTTTAATGTGTCCTTGTAGCGTTTCCTCTGGCCACCATGAGATCTCAGGCCATTAGTAAGCTGGGACTAGAGCATTTGTTTTGAGAGCTCAGAATCAGGCATCGTCACTTAATGTCTGGTCTAGCAAAGACGGTGCTTGAGGATCACCAACCCAATGCTGGTAACATCAAGGGCCTCAATCCAGCAGCTTTTCTCACTTGAAACAAACTGCAGTGAAGGACGTAAACCAGAGGTATTCTGTACCTGAGGCCTGCAGAAGCCTAGGATTTGCTCCTTGCCAGAAGCAAACTAAATGGGAAATTGCACTTGCCCTGCAGGACACACAGAAGACCCTTTTTCAAAACAGAGAATAATTATTTTTCAAGTGGGAGACAAGGGAACTTGGCTTGTGTTTTTAAGAAGTCTGAGGGGAAAGTCATTTGAATCCTGATGCTGATCAGTTTAATGAAGAAATGTGATCATTTTTATAGAAATAAGCAAATCCTTTCTTTGGGTCCCAGGGGGCTTGCTTACTGAATTATCACAGTAGATGAAAGGCTCAATCAGGGGGGAAAGGCCAGTTTGTGTCATGGGTGCATGTTTCTGTTTTCTCAGCCCAGAGGGAGCTGAGATCAAAAGTGAAATTCCACTTAACTCAGTGGGATTTTGCAATTTGGTACTAACCCTGGGGATTACCAGTGTTTATCATGGCAACAAGGGCATTTGAAAAAGGGAGGAAGGGGGGCAGTGGGCTCAGATGCAGTGAAATCTGAGATTGAATGGAAGTTGCACTTCTTAGGATGCCCTGAACAGCAGCTCTGGTCAAGATTGAGACCAGATCTCACTTGGATCATATCCTGAGCTCCTGCCCCACCTCCGGCCCAAGTCTTTTCTAAACTCAAAGGAAGTTTTACTGGAGTAAAATCACTAGGATTTGACCCAGAAAAAGTAATTCCATTTGAAAGTATAGTATCACCCTAAGAGGGTGTTACTATGTTGCCCATACTGTGAGAGTAGCTCTGAAGAGAAAAGGGAAAACCAGATTTAATCCAGAAGAGGGGTCAGAAGAGAGTGGACAGTGGTCATTCAAAGCAGGAACAGGAAGCAGAATGGGGACAAGCAAACACTAGCAAAGCCCTTCTCTACTCCAGTCCTCCACCCAAAAGCTCTACTGAACAACTAAAAGCAACGGTGACATGCTGAAAAGCTGGTGGCACTTGGAGCAAGAATGTCAAAAGCAGATGACGGGCTCAGGGGCCAGGCCAATGCCCTTAGCAACTACTCAGCTGAGAGGCGCATCAGTTATCACAGGTCAGTGCCTAAGCGAGCTAGATTGTCATCATGACACTATCCCACTATGCAGCAACGGTGCAAATAAATGATGGACGTGAGCACCAGAGTGATGGCAAGAAGGGAGTGAAGGGAACGATCATGAGCACAGCCTGGCTATCAGCCTGCAGAAGACGTTTCCATTGTGCTGCCTTTGCTAATGCCACTCAATATCCTGGAGCTCATGTCGAATGTTGTTTCCATAACAACGCAGCTGGAGCTGGCTGGCGGACCCCACGTCTTGGCAACCCCAGCCTTGCGGCATGTGAATGTGATGTTTCCATGGAAAGGCCAAGATCCAGGAGGTAATGTTCCCCACCAGCAGAGTCTGCATTTCAAACCAGTGATGTTGGCTCCTGTTTTCAGCATTGCCTGAAGGCTGGGTATCATGTGTCAGGAGCTTTCTGAGCAGAGATACTCAGGGAACAATCATTCTGGCCGGTGTTGTGAAACAAAATGCCAGGCACAGGGTCAGCGTGATGACATGGGAGAGAAGGAGGCCTCAGTGAGAGTATTCAGAAGATGCTGTTGAGAAATGCAGCATGTATAGCCTTTTCACATCCCTCTGCTATCTGTCTTGGGTACTTCCATGTCTCCTGCTGCTATAATAGCTGACCACCTCACTGTCTATAATGCACTAAGCCTTGCAAAGCCCTTGGCAGGTAGGGTAGTGCTACTATCCTCGTTTTAAAGATGATGAACTGAGGCACAGAGGAACTTTAGGGACAGTCTTAGAATGGATTTTACTGCTGAAAGATGCAGAGAGGAGCCTACAAGAGACTGTGATCTCCGCATCATCAGAGACCTACTAAATGCCTTCAAGGATATAGTTCTACGTGACTGGGCCAAGGTTACACAGGAAACCTGGGGGTGGGCAGGGCCTTCAGTTCAAGCTAGCATCCAGCTCCACATTCATCTTTTTCCCCTCTGTTATCCATCCTGGCAGAATAGGGCCCAATTAAATGGTAATGGATAGGAATCTGAGCTACAGCCCACTGAGGTCAACAGAAAGGATCTTTGCATCGGATCGTACAAAGAAGACTGTTTTACACCAGGCCCCTGCTCTGCTTACAGCTTACTCGGTACGTTGTGACAAAGAACATCTTTTAGGCTCTGGCATGCTAAGTACCCAACATGCTTGTCTGCTGACTCACCTTATTAACTTAAAGGGAAATGTTCTTTTGAAATTATACCCTTTAGGAGGGGCTGGAAGGGCTCTTTGACCTATTTAGTCTTCCTAAAGTTGTATTGTAAAATCCTCTTCTCACTCCCTGTCTCCATTTACAAAATGGTTTTCCCATATTTCTTCTTTTTTCTCTTCTAGATAGATTAATAGCTTTGGTTGTTACAAAATCTGCCATAGAAAAACATCTGGGTAAATCTCCAATTACCTAGGTCTGTTCACTCCCTTCTGTGCAATGACAGCCTCAGACAAACAGAGTAGTTTCAGCGTAGTTTCAAAGGTCTTTTAATGTAAGCAAGCTCTAGCTAACAAACTGGAGATGGTTTCATATTTACCTTGGCCTTTACAGATAAGAGAGTTTTGAACTAGACAATAAAATAATTGTAGCTTCCTTGGAAAAAAGACTTCACTTATTCTTAGCTGGATGTCCTGCTGGTGACAGATGAATATTGCAGTCCCCTTGTCTTGGTGATATCACAGTGGCAGGTGTTCACAGTAACTCTGTCGGAAAGTATTACATTCTTGGTTTGCTCAGCTAAATGTAGGAAGCTGTCACATAGCCAGCCACTCCCAGTGCCAGCCATCCTGGATATCGCTTACAGTGGACTGTCAGTGAAGCAGACTGAAATGCATAGATGATGTGGATTGAGTTTCTCTTGTATGGTCGCTCTTTGATTTATCACTTAGAGATGTTACATTTGAAAACATGGTCGGGGTGTTATAGCCAGGATGGTCCAAGGAATATGCAAAAAAGCAAGATCGGTTTGGTACTGTCTTTTATTGAATCAGCTATAGAATTGGAAGAGATATTAGCCCTTCCTCAGATCTGGGCAAGAAACAGATATAGCCCAAACTAAATACCAGGAAAATCAACTCCTTCTGTTTAGCTTCTCACACATTCCTTGGGCCATCATGGCTATTGTATCTTATCTATTCCCTGCACCATTGCAGCCACAACACATAACAGTTAAACAAGTCATTGTTTTACCAGGTATTTAGCTTAGGTTGTATCCACTTCCATCCCAGACCTAAGGAAGGGCACCTTGTACCCAAAAGCTTGTCTCACATCTTTCCCAACTATATAGTTGGTCCAGTAAAAGCAACAGGCCTTGTCTCTCATATTTGAAAATAACTTATATGGAGAAATGTTCCACTCAGGTTTATTTAAGTAGCATCTTGGGGAAGCTTCTTTAAAACCACAGATGGAAAGCTATACATTTTGAAAGGAAGCAGCACTGAGAGAAATGTTATGCCTTGGCATTTTTATAAGCCTGGGAACTCTGATGAAATAGTCTGTATCTTAATTCTGCTTTGTGTGCACTAAAGGTCATTATTTTCAATGGTTACTCAGGAGGAACCAGGAGAAAAAAAGGAGTTGCTTCAGAGGAGCTCAGATGAGAAGAGTGGAAGAACTCTATTCAGAAAGCTTGTGTAGTATCTGCAGCCTGATGCTGAGAGGTGCTTCCAGTCTTTCTGGGATCTGAACATTTGAACTGGGCATGTTCATTTGTATATTGGCAAAATGAGAAAGTGATTTCCAAGAGAGACAAGAATAGTTTGTGCAGATCTTTGTTTTCTCAAGAGCGCCAACATTCACTCTGGCTGCTTGGAGCAGTGCATACTACATACATCCCCTCAATATCATGACAACTGGATTCAGCAGAGGAATGCCTGGGCAGGGATTCTCTTTCTTGGACATGTAACCTTGCATGCATGGACAATTACCTGTGTGTGTTCCTAAGTGCAATTCCTGGAAGCAAAATAGGGGAGGGGGACACTCCAGTATTTTAGCTCAACAGTTGAGTGGTTAAGGCACTTACCTACGAAGCCAGAGACCCAAAATCTAGTCCCCTCATGCCCAAATGGAGTGTGTGTCTGCATCTCTGATTTCCCAGAACTTCTCTACCCACCACACTGAAGTCAGGCATTACTTCCTTATATCTCCAGCTTTCCAGGCAAGCACCCTACATGTTCAGCTATTAGTACTGCAATATAGGAGGTCTTTCCTCCTCCTCAGTCTAATAGTTAGTCATGGTTCTCAGCCATCTACATTTTCAGCTCTTAGACACAAGTACATGTCTATTTGTGCATACATAGCCATGTATGTACCCAGTCAATGGTTACTTTGACATGCTCAGTTTATGCATACCCATATATGTGTTTGTGCTGCTAGGGAAATAAAAATCCTACCTGTACAGAAGTGCTAAAGAGGTCACCTAGACAACTAAGAGCTGCCACCTAAGAACTGCCACCTAGATTACCAAAGGGGTACAGAATGCCACCTTAGTTAAGTTGCCCTTATACTATCCATTCTCAGACATACACCCCCTTTTCTGTCCCAGGGTCAGAGACAGCAGAATGCATCAGGAACCCATCACAATGCTGGCAAGAACCTATCCAGACTGCTGACACCAGTATTTTAAGTAAAAGTAAAATCAACTTTCTGCTAGAGATCTTGCTATATACATCGCTCTTATACTGGACAGGCAGGCAAATAGATCGACTGGTCTCCTGTGAATGGGTCAGACTTCAGTTTTCCTATAATGGTAAAAGTATCACATTATCTCAGAATCAGACTAATGAACTCTGTAATGTATCCCACAAGTGGAGACAGCTTTAAGCCAATCAAAGCACAAAGCTGCTGTCAGCTCCTGATCTAATTATCCACTGACACCAACAGGCTGGAGACTGGCATTCACTAAAGAGATGTCAAAGTGAGTTTCACTGTGTAATTTAGTAACTGCAGATAATACAAGGGAAATCCCAAAAGGAGATTAAAACATTTACATTTCATTTCTGGAGGCTTTGTGAAATACTGCCCTAAAGGAGCACTAGATAACACTACAGTCTGATGCCCAAGATCTGGAAGCACCTGTCCCTTTCAGATTGTTTTGGCCACAGTATTAATTTGTGGACCTAAAAAAGATTCTCTGATTAGCTGCCACAGCAATAAACAGCTTGAATATTGTAAACCATGCATGGTTTTCCCCATTGTCATTGCAGTGACATGGTACAGTGCTATATTTAAGGTTCCGGGGTGGGCACTTAACCATGGGGCACATTCTTCTGGGGACAGTCATTTTTAATGTCATCAACAGAGAAAAGAAAACGTGCCTTTGTCCTTTATCTTTCTTGAGGACGGGCACCCTCACTGAAGACTTCTCGGAACTGGTCTAGCTTGTCAGTAAGTAGACTGTCTTATATACAAGATTTTCTAAGGCTTTTGAAGTAGCATCAGCACAAGCAGCTATTGTTTTACTTGAATTGTATCTCAGAGATAACTCATACTTCTTTTCTGTATCTTGAAAGAGCTGATAATATTTTCAGCTTTTTCTTTGTGAAATCTTTCCCCCTGCATTCATTTTTAATTGATCTATTTAGCAATATCTACATTTGGACTGGAAAGAAATAGCAGTAATAATAACTGATATTGTCTTAATGGACTAGAGCTCTGTTTCTCTAAAACAGTTTTAGATTACAGAGCATTGAAAGCTAGCTCAAAGCTATCACATGAAAAACAAACTCTAAAAAAAGGAAAGTGGATATTTAGGTGTAGAATTTGGAAACACAAATCTGATGCCTGATAGTCATCTTCACCTGAAAAAGAATATAGTTTAGAATTACTCCAAAAACTATTAAATAGTTTAGAAGATAGTGCACAGGAAACAGTATTTTATAAGGGTATGGGGGTATTATTTTCAAATCTGATTTGTTTGATTTTCTTCTGCTTGTGCTTGTGCTACAAAGGGAACCCCTTTCCAAAGCTGGGCTCTATCAATGGGTTATTGCTATGATAAGTCTAAAGCTCACTCTGCATGTTGGGATATTTTTGTATTCACTACAAGAAGTTTTCAGCTGAGCTATTTTAAGCTTACTACATATAGTAATGTTTAAAGACTAGATTAAACAATATAATTATAGCAGTAACATCATTCTTTCAACAAAATACCTTTTAGAATTAGAAATGGAATAAAATTAAAACACAATCTAAAGTTAGGGAAAAAATCTTCAATTGAAATGAGACAATGACAAGTTCAAAGGCATGAATAGTTTTCAGAAAGGTAACATTTTCCAAAGAGCTTAAATCTTATTTTCAAAAAAGTACCAAGGCACTTAGAAGCCAGAAAATCAGTAATATTTAGGGTTTATGAGCTGGGTCTCTGGAAAGGCTGTAGGGTGGAATGAGATAAGGATAGATACACTTTTTAAATTGTATTTGCTTAATCTCCCAAGTATCTAGTCAGTGCCTAAAATCAGCACACTGCTCATCCTTGGAGGAGGAGCTGCAGAGATAGCTTAGCTTTTTTGGCAGCAAGGGGAGGAAATGGATGGGAGCTAGTACCCACATTGTTTACTATTTCCACTTCTGGAAAGAGAATAAGGAAGGGATGCTTCTTTGGTCACAGAGTGAAAATTCAATAGTTTATTGAATAAAAGCTTAAATCTCTAACCAAGCCCAGATTCTCTGAAAGCTTCTCAAGCCACCTTTCGAGCACTGGGGAGAACTACCTTGGCAATCAGGCTGTACCCAATGGGCTAAATAAAGAATTATTATGGTGACATACTGGGAACTGTAACTTTAAAAAGTGGCTTAACTCTAGAGACCAGAAATCTGCAGAGAGGCAGTAGAAGTCTGGAGTATGGTATGCAGAGGCCATTGGAAATGCTCGCTGAATAGAGGATTTCTTTTGAGTGCCATGGGCCCAAGGTGATTCCCGAACATGGACAATACAAACTTGTCAGTTCACTATAGTTAGTGTGTTCATGAGTGCTACACTAACTGGTCTCACAGTACATCTCAGCCTACAGGCAGAGAGAAATTAGATCAGAAAACAATGATGCTGATTCAGGACAGATTTAGGGATGGAGAAATGGGCAAGCTTTGCTTTTTTCTCCTCTCTTCCTTTACTCTTCTATCATTCCCACTTACCCACACCTGCTGGTCACATTATCAAATGCCTCCTGATACAGCAGGTATGATCAATCACCTTCCCTTGCCATCTCTTCCTGCTGATCTGGTCACAACAGCAGCATCAGCCCTTCTCCTCCCAAACATAATGAAGGATGGTTATTAGCCAAGCAGATGGCCTCGTTAGATCCTCAACAGTCTGTTCATCTGAGACTACCACTGACTATTCCTTATCATCCAACAGATTGCAATTCTAGGGGAATAATTAAAACTATGACATGGGAAAGTTAGGATTATTTTTAATGAAATACTGCATATCCATCTCTTTTAAATAGTAAATTCCACTATTGGAATACAGAACTCTGTTTGTAGTCTAATGCTGTCCCCAGTGTTTCAGGTTATCTATCCAGCCCATTGTACCTTATCTTTGCCCTCTGCTGTACCATTTCTGCCTTAACTAGCCTTCATACTAATTAAGACCATGGTGTTCTTCTACAAGCTACTTTGGGGTCTGATCCAATATTCACTGAAATCAGTGGAAAGACTCCTGCAGCTTTATTTAGTATTAGATCAGGATCTTAGAAACCAGCTGCCTGTTATTCTTCTACAGTTTCAACAAAAGGTTTGCAAGTTACCCAGAAGGATCCTCTTCTCTTTCATTTTCATTTTCCACCAAGAGCTGATTACAGGAAACTACATTATTTCATAGACCTTGAAGCCTGAAGGGACCATTATGAGCATCTAGTCTGACCTGCATAATACAGGCCCAGGAACCTCACCCAACAATTTCTACATCAAAACATATGATGTCAGTTTGAGATAGTAACGTAAACATTCCCAAAGATATTCTCTATGTTTACTGCTTTGTTTTTAGTTTTTCTTTTCACACAGACTCTGGCTCCCACATCTGCACATTACAGTCATGGAAATGATGTGCCAAGAGGCTGATATGATGACCACTGAAGTCAAGAGATGCTCATTGGATGTTCACATGAAAGATTTTGCTGGACCATTTGAGATGGTTCATTTGAAAGTCAGTGTCACTGTGTGTTTGAATCTATTCTGGTAGGTAACTTCTACTGTGAACATTCAACATGGAAACTCGAACTTTGTTTCATCAGAGAGAGGAGGAGCAAAAGGAAGAGAGACAGCGAAGCTTGGAAATGACTTCCAGGACAAGAAAGACTAAGTTCAAGTCCAGGTAAATCAAGGAATTAATAACACTGGAGTGATGTTGTAGCTGTGATGGTATAGGAATTATGCAAGGGGCAAGGATTTTTGTGGGTGAATTCTTTGATTGGTCTAACTGCATGGTTGCGATAAAGTTAGACAAGCTTTTGAATGTAAGGCATTCTTCAAGGGACTGATTAGCAGTGAGGTGAGAGGTAAGTCACCCAATTCCAGATGGCTCAGTCAGGTCTAAACAATATTATGGGTTCTCAATAAGTGAACCAGATCCAGATTACTCAGTTAAGTTCAGACCGGTCAACGAGTTCTAAATAAGTGACTGGATTCACCTTATGCAACATGAGATGTGTCAGTGAGTTCTGCACGCGTCAATTAGCTTACTCTGCTCAAGCCTCAGGCAAGCCAATGGGTTCTGAATAATTACAGCAGTTTCAGGTAACTCAGTCAGGTCCAGGCAAATAAATCATTCTCAGTAAGTGGTGAATATATCAGGTCTAGGTGATTCAAGGGATCAGTGGTCAGTCAAAATGTCTTCAAAAAGTGAAACTGGGACGAAAATTGTTCTGTATTATGCTGTTTGATAATCTGTTGGTTAAATAAGAAAACAAAGTTTCCAAAACTACCTAATTTCAGTGTCTTTGGGCCTAAATGCCATTGACTTTTAATGAAACTTGGATTTCCAAAATTGTCTAAGGGCATGTCTACATCATTTCTATCAATACTAGAGGGCACCACCTTGGAAACACACTCCACCTACCCCCTTTTGCCCCACATGTACCAAATGTTGGGAAAATATGATGTAGCTAGCAATTGCTAGGGTAGAGCTGGGTAGTGGGTACACACCAGTAAGGACACCTTGACAGCAGCACTGGATGGACATCGAACATGATCTGTTGTATTACAAGTCTCTGGCAGCTGGTGGATGTGGAATGGGAGTGACTGGGCAGGGCATGTTTCCTAGTGGTGCCCCCTAGTAAAAATGGAGGCAATGAAGAGATGCCCAAAAATGGGACTTAAGCTGTTCAGTTACAAAAGGGCTTTTCATAACTTACATACTAAGCATGTTGTGGAGTGCTTTGCTTATAAATGTGTTCAACTTTGTCTGAATTCTTCTGTGTGCGCACCGTGTGGAAGTGAGGAAGAAGAGACCTTCACCCTTTCAGAGTTATCCATGGCAGCTGCCCTCGCCTTAACCTCAGAAATATCACAGTAAGTCAAGAATTTGATGTCACTACAGTTACTATATCAACTGTGTTACATGTACACTACATTTGCCTAAAAGAGGCACTGGTTCACAGTCATTCTTTTGTGACCCTTCTGCGAGCTGGTGTTGGTAGTAAAAAAGGCCAGATGCATTAGAAAAGCTTAAATTGTATCATCCTGAGCTCCCATACAGAAACCTGTGAAACTAAAAATTGCCTGAATGCCCTTTACAAGCAATATTTCCCTGCTTGTGAGCAACAAATCAAAAATGGAAAGGAAATGGAATTTTGTATGACAGGGAGAAGAAAGAGAAATTTGGGAAAGCCAGATTAATAAAGCAACAATATGACTGTTTGCCTCTTAATACTGGGCACATTAGTGTTTCTCTACATGCCCCATTCACTTGCCATCTGGGCAAGCATAAATAAATTAAGAAAGGGTGGCCTTCTCCAAAGCAGTAGCTGGAAAGGAAGCACCATAGGCAAAATCCTGGCAATGCATCAGAAAGCCGTAGGATGGAGTAGTTGTGTGTACTTCTCTTGGGACTGAGAAACAGAAACGGCTGGTGTCTAGTTCCTCCTTGTTTGCTTTCTGTAGCACACAGTCCCTCTGTGTCTCAGTTTTCCCAGCTGTAGAAATAATAATAACCTTTCACAGGTGATAAGACTATTCACTAGGAAAAATATATTGAAGATTACATTGTTATATACACCACCAAATCTATCCAATAAAAGAGTATTCCTGTCATCACTGGCAAGTCCACCTTCAGCTTTGAAAAGCAGAACAAGCATCTCCCAGGAAATTCTAAGCTTCTGACATTTCATTTCTTGCCATATTGGGATGAAAAGTAAACATCTCTGAATTGTTTTACTGTTCCAAAATATTTCCTTCCATGAGTTGAAAAAAATCATTTTGATCATATCATATTCTATATTATATTAATTAAAAATTAGGTTGAAACAAAAGATTTTGCTTTGACCTCAATGAAATAAAACATATCAATAATTTCACAAGGGCTTGGGCAATTGTGGGCTTTTTTAATACGTGTATTTGACATCTCAGGGACGCCAAGCTGAGGAAAGAAACTGCCATCCTGGAACTGGAGAAAAGGGGACAGAAGAGAGTTCGATTTGGAAATGAAATGGAAAAGCTGGAAAAGACTGTCATTAGGAACTGCAGACTCCTGCGTGTGAGAGCTGACCGCAAAGCCCTTCGCAGGAAGGTCAGATACTTAGAGAGGGACAGGACTTTTCTATGGCTAACAGAAATACCTGTGGGGTTATAGCTATTTACTAGAATAAATTTGGGGAGGAATCTTCGGCCCAATTAAATTCAAGAGGCCCAACCAATCTCTAACCAGTACAGACCAGGATGAGACCTTGGGTAGGGGTAAATCATGCCATGTCTGCTTTTGTGGGGTTATCACATCTTCTCCTGAACACCTGGTACATCTGGAAGCATGAGAAACAGCACACTAGATGAGATGGACCTTGAGTCTCATCCAGCATTCTTATGATACTAAAAGGGGGAAATTCTAGCCATTTTCTTACTGTTTATGAAATTGTAAGATCTATACCCAGCAATAAAAACTCTGTGAAAGTTACCCATATCTGGACTCAACAACATAGATACAGCCATAGTATCCAGGTCTGAAACTCCAGCTAAGTAATCACTATATATGGGAAAACCGAGTGAGAAATGTAGCTTGTACTTTGTCGTTGGAGTCCATAGAACACCACATATTCCTACATAAAGGACTGAGTAGCTGTCCATAAACCAGCTTTGGGTTATCTCTTCACAACTGTATTAACTGGCAGAGTTTTAGAGCAAGATCCTCAGCTGATACATGAAAAGTGAAGCTCCATTTACATTGAATGGAGCTACTGGGGGTAGCACCAGTTGAGAATCTGCCTCTTTATTTTTTGAAGTCACTAAATCCAGAAAGCAGAAAATTTTTCAAAATCTGGGGGCCTCGTTAAGGCAATGCCTTGGCTGTCTGCTTTGTGAATGAGACAAGTCTCCTCCATAAACGTTCAAAGATGGTTTTCAGCTTTGTTTAGCTGCCACAATAATTGACTTCATAGACCAGCCCGCTGCTGGACCAGAGTGGTGTGCGGTTTTGTAACAGGCAGTGGAAAGCTGTCAGCATTCTAAACGCCACGTCTGCAGAAAACCTCATGGAGCTGGAACATAACCATTTGCTCTTTCCCTTGTGTGTTTGCTCCTTACTGTAGGCTCTAGAGAAAGCTCGCCTAGAGAAAGAATACATTGAGCTGCGATCAGCCCGGCCACCCATGTTCTGGATCCCACTCAGAGCTCATGGAGTCTGGGAAAGAATGGAAGTGAAGCTCACTTGCACAGTCCTGGCTTCCCCCCCCCCACAGGTTGCCTGGTACGTGAGCTGAGGACAATGACTCGTGAGGACCAGGCACATCATTCTGAGAGGCAGATAGGGGAAGCAGCACCTGTGTCTAGTTAGAAAGACTTAAAAATTGGAAGGGAGTTTAAGAATACTGAAGACATCACTTTAATTTCTAAGTCCATGCTTCCAATCCACCCATGTGTGTTGGAATCAGTGTACAGGAGTTGTTACCAGCCAGTCAGTCTCTGTGATATGCATTCCTGAGCCTCATGCCAGTTTCCAATGAACAGGGGTCCATTTCTGAAAACATCCCCACAACATCGCACACTTCAGGCAAAATCCCCAGCCTTGGCTGCAGCCAGCACCCAGTGCATATAGAAGGCAAAAAACCCCTTGGTACCGGTAGGAAACAAGAGTGTGGGAAATTCCTTCCTGGGCCCATGTGATGACCAGCAAGGCCCAGAAGCACAGGATGGAACTGATTCCAGAGCTGTCATAACTTGACTCCTCTGGTCCTTTACAGGCTCCACACAGAGGTAGAAACAGGATCTAAATTTAGTCTTATAGCCTATTAATTATAAAGTTTTTTCAATGTCTAACCTAGTGATTCTCACCCAGAGTACCTTGGAACACACTGGGGTGCCTTGAGATATTTTCAAGGGTGCCATGGGGTGCTGCTCAATGCTAGTATCATTAAATGTGCAAACACGATTCACAAGATAAAACCAGAAGGCACTTGTACACGTTATGCATTGTTTAGATACACGCCATGAAACAGCACCAAAAATCACCATTTCGCTAAGTTAGTCGCATCTGAAAATACATGTTGATGTCTTTTTATCATGGTAGATTTTGATTTATCATGGTAAATTAGACCACCTCCAACATGTTTTATTTTTAGCATGCCCAATTGTTTCAGCAGGATTATTTTTATCATGATAGTTTTGTGACGTATTCTCACAGAAATCCATAGTGTCAAAAACATTGTGGCCTGTTGTGATCTTTCTGAGTTCTTTGCAACAGAAGAATTATTTATTATCTTTCAGTACTCAAAAAGTAAGAGAAAACAAAGAGCTGGCATTTTCCAAGGGGTGCCTAGAGTCTATTGTGGGGTGTCTCAAGTCTAAAAATGTTGAGAACCACTGGTCTAGCCTCTCTGATTCACTCCAGCAGCTGTCAGTTCAGTGTAGCCTCTGTCCTGATAAAAAACTTTGCCTTGGAGAGTGGCCACTACACTAACTTCCTATATCTACCCTACGCTCTTGCATCTTGGTCATTGGCCAACAAGTTAAACCAGCCTGCATGTCTTTTATGAACCAGACAGGTGCAGGAACATTGTGGACACACCATTGGTGCTTGGCTACCAATCAGGATACCATATGTGCTTATCTATTCAGCTGCTACAGTCTGAGAAATACAAAGCAACTCTTCTATGTACCATCTTTGCTTAGTTACAAATCCACAGGATGGAAAATGCCAGGGAGATCTCTGGGGATGGTCTGCAAAACTTACTGCTAACAATGGAAGAACAGAAACACCAAAAAAGATCAGTAATAGCGTGTTACAAATTAAGCAATTAGTTCCTCAGTCAGATAGATAAAGGGATTAAATTGACCGTCCTTTTATATAAATGGGTGTAGTATTCATACATGTGAGTTTCAGGTAGTTTTGCTAGGGGCTTTGGCGGAAGATTTGCTTTCCCAGTTTGGATCCTTTTTACCATTCAAGTAGTACAAAGAGAGGAGAAACCACTTGCAACTCCCCAAGGAACACACAGAGATTTAAAAAAAACCTAGCTGCAATAACTCCTTCCCCACACCTTCTGGAGTTGAGGATATAAGCAGGGTAGCAGGCAGCAGGCAGAGAAGATGGCTGGACTGTGGTGTCTGCTAGCAATCCTCAGGTAGCTTCTGGACCCTGGGGCACCACGTAGCACAAGTCAGAGGAGCCCTCAGACTGCTTCAGACTGTACTAGGCTGGGGCACAGAATCAAGAAGTTAAGAATGAGCTCCCTGGTGGCTGTCTACTTTCCTGTTCAACTGTGCCCTGTGGAAGAAATGGCCCTTTTAAACCAGGTGTTGCTCCTTTCTTTTAAAACTAAGTTTTAAATTTACCAGCTTATTCTTCTCTAGAATGGCAAATCCCTCTTGAATGATATGTCATCCTTGTGTTCAATTAGGTATAAAAATGGAATCCCTATTAATTTCCGACTGGCTCCAGCAGGAAAATACAGGATGCAGAACAAGTTTGGCACGCTCACGCTCTACATCAGCAGGTAAAGTATAGACCATTTGCTCAGCTCCCCCTTCATTAGCCTTAAGGCCTGTTCTGACAAGAGTCAACTATACAACACAAAATGTTTTTTTCTGGGGAGGGAAAGTTGATGCAGCGAAAGTCTGATGTACTGCCCTGCTACAGGGCCCAATACTTCAAATAGCTCAGTCATGGGTTAAAATTATTTTATTTTATTTGAATCTGGGTCGCTGAAGGTTTGTATAAAATCTTCATGATCTATCTCAGATTCTCATTATGCCCCTTAGTTCTCTATACTTCACTAGGGATACCTTAAAGTTTGGGCATTCATGGTAAACTTTAAGCGGGCTTAGAGCTCTGGCTGAGTTCAGAATTCTTATAGAATGAAAAGACGGTGTGATACGTAAGTAATATATGTATAAGCCCGGGTCCTCAGTGGAGCTTCAGTGATTCAGAGGTCCTGCACTTTCTCTGAATGGGGCAAATTTCATCCAGTGATCATAATTCTTTGCGCATCAGGAGAAAACTATGTTAGAAGTCTAATTCTCAATAACTGTCATTGCCAAAAATAAACTGGTAAAAAACTCATTTTCCTTTTTAACTTGTGAGATTAAAGACCAGCCCATATTAATACACACTGATCAAAATTCACCCTCTGTGCTGAAAACCAAAGACTGAAGGTCAAAAGGAAAACACAAATTCATTTCTTTCAGATGTTCTATGGAAGATTCTGCTGAATACAGTGTTGAAGTTAAAAACCCTTATGGTGAGGCCTATTCATTTGCTTCAGTGCTTGTCAGAAGTAAGTAGAAAATTTACTTTCCTTTTTATTAAAAAAAAATCTTTGTGGATATTTCAACACAATTTAATTAAAGTAAGCCTCTAGAATTGCACAAAATGAATACTGTAATATTTGAGTAGCATCAACTGATATATTTTTCCATCTTAAAGATTAGCCACATTCTTATTTTAGTTGTCATTACAAAAGCAAATATTCAGACCACCAGAAAGTGTTTAGCTGGTCTAAATCATTATGTGTACAAAGAGGAATGATGCCAGTATATTTCCACACCTTTTCTACATACAGATTAATTTTATTTATTCACATTTATTATTTCTGCTTTCTTTCAAAGCAGGTCTTGAAATCACCTTGATAAGTGGATGAAATTTTGTTTAATGTATTTTCATGTAAACCAGCAGGTTCAGTTTGGTGATCCAACAACAAAAGACCTCCACAAAAAGAGATATTTCTCCTGATGCTTAATACTCCCAGGAGTTAGAGTTAAATACAGTGTAATTGCAGGGTGGAACCAATATTTTAAATGAACTGAAATCAGAAGGGACTGGCCCAAACTATGACAAAATCCAACTGTTTATAACCCAGAGATTTGTTTTAACTGGGAAGTACAGCAGTTTAGAAAGGATCTAGTGTCTTTTTGAAGGTTGGACTGAAAAAAAAGTGCATTACCAGAGGATCTCTCTTGGTGTACACACAGCTCTCTCCAAAGAGTAACCCTTCATGACCAAGTTCAAAGTTCTCCTCTCTGCAACTGTTGTGATAATTTGAAAAGACACTTCTTTATTAAGTCCAAGCAGGACAATTATGTCGCAAGATTCTGCCCAAGCTAAAGAAAGACATATGGAGAAGTGGCAGGAAATGAACTAACAGTGCTTACAAAGGAAAATTATTTGAAGCTTTAGGCCAGGGAAAAGGCGATGCCATCTCCTGTGATTGTTGGTTAGCCCTTGACATTTGTAATCTATATATAAAACACCCCTGTTAAAAAAGCCTCGTCTGGAATCTACCTACATAACTATAGACAACTGACAGTGACACTGGCATGAGCAAAAGAATAACTGAAATGGTAGCAGATGCCATTATGGCTGCTTCAAAGGTCTGATTGGTATAGAAGAGATGGGCTCCTCTGGCATCATAACATGGAAATCCAACTTAACGATGCAGGCAGCTGATTTTTCTGAAATATGCATCATTCATTTGGTGTTCATGCTTAAACAGCTTCTCAGGCCATGCTGTCACTGTTTTTTTTCTTTGCTGTATATTGATCAAATCTGAACAACCTGAAGAAGACTGACCAGGGAATTGTAATGGACATATATTGTTCATAATATCTTTAAAATCCTTTGGTCAGACATTGCCTTGGGTGAGTCAGAATTCAGCATTTAACCAAGCACATGCACACACTCGCACACATGCATGCACACACACTTCAAGAGAGACACTTATAAAAACAATGACAGCTCCTTGTTTGCAAGGCTTCCCAGATCAACCAGCCTGGATTATCCTTACCTTAACAGAGAAAGAACTTAAAAAGGCAGTGTTGTGTAACTGTTCTATTCTATGAGGGTTCTTACACCACACTCACTATTGTAGTACAGTACCTTTTGAAACTATTTAGCGAAACTATTTAGCAACATGGCTAACATGGAGCACATGCTTGTTTTCATCCTCTCCTCCAGTAAGCAAATCAGGCTGAGATGCAAATCAAAAACACGCCTAACAGTAAGATTCATGTCCAAAAAATCTTGCTCATTTTGCCGCTCAAGTAAAGCAAAAATAAACTCCAGAACAATCAGCAGTGGGAACACCAAGGGCTAAATACTGTTTCACTTTATGCAACTAATTGGCACATACACAGCTGCATAGCTACAATTTTTGGCACTTAACATACAGTTTACAATTTAGCAACGCATGCACAAGTCCATGCAGCTCTAGTTGGCAGCGAAGAGAGGCAGTTATTACCAGTTATATAGGGCCAGGATGCACAGAACAAGCCAAGGGCTGCATGACTCACTGAGGTAGCTGCTGCCCTTGGAAGAAAGGGGGCCCTGGGTTCCAGCCAGACCTCTTCTCCCATTGTGGCCAGCACTGTACCTAGATTTCTGGTGACCCTGGGCAAACTTTTAGTATCGGGCTCCCCCTTCACCAGAGATAATGATAATAATAATTAAAAATTGCCATTTTCAGGCCCCCTTTCTGTCCAAGCCCTGGGCAGCCTCCCAGTTTGCCCATGCTGTGTCCAGCCCTGACTGTGGCCCTGGGCATGTCTAGTCTTCCTAGGAAGCAAGAGGTGCAGGTTCAGAATCTCTCTGGTTGAAAGGTGAACAACTGTGTCACTCCCCCAGCTATTGGGCTAAAAGGCAGAAAGATCTGCTGCTGCTGCTGCCATGTTTGCATGCAGGGCACACTGGAATCACCAAAAATTGCAGTTACGCAACTACTTACATGTCACTTAGGTGCATAAAGTGAAATAGGATATAGCCCCTGGAGTCAAATGGGCAAAATGTCTTTGTTGTTTGTATTTAGGGGCAACTGAGAAAGCAGTGAAGCATAAACTGGGCATCCAGGGCAGTAAAACTTTCAGTAAAGGAATCCCCAAGGGCAGGATGAGGACCTACATACTGTATTGGCTTGATTTTCAGAAGGTCTGAACCACTGCAGATCCTATTGAAGTTCAGTGTCTCTATACCTTTGAGAGCCAGGCTTTTTATCTCTAACAATCTGGAGCTTAAAACTATAAGACAATCTTGGGAAAAGACCACGAATATTAGAGCCCTCAGTAAGTGGCTGGCATAGTACGGCTGGTGACATTTAGTGCCCCAAACTAGCTATAAATCCCATCAGGAGAAAGATGTTGACTTGTTGCTGAGAGGTGGTATGTTGGAAACAAATAGCACTGGAAAATCTGCTTCCTACTGCTTCCAAAGGCAAAAGTTTTGTCTAAATAACATGAGGTCACCCACCTTCCCCAGCAGAATCCCTCTCTTCGAAATTCTCCTTGTGGAAACAGAGATGGCATGAGACCAGAGCAAGGCACGTTAATAGAAAATCTTAGATGAGAATGCTGCCCAAATGCCTCGTAGTACCTGATTAAACTGTCCTTCAGGGAGTCTTTGCTGGCTGCACTGTATATCAGCACATCAAATAGCACTCTAACATTGCTGCTTATGTTGGCTGTTCACAGGCCCATGCTACTCTTTCTCCCTTGACCGTTCCTGATGCCATTCCAGTAATATGACCCTGCCCTGTGCTATTTGTGTTTAATAGTCCGAAAATAGAGACTATGCCAAAGCCTTAAATCCTGCACACACTGGAAACATTCCTGGTCCCACTGAACAGGCCAATGGCATCCATTCTCCTGGCCCCACATTGTCTGGAATGCCCTTGCTATCCTGGAAGGTCCCCAGGCCAACTGGTTCTGTTTAGCAGGAGATTCATTCTCTCTATAAACACTGTTTGGGGGTCCCCTTTATCCTGGATCAGGCTGGCAGTTCCTTTTTAGTTCTCTATCACTCTGTGCTTCAGCTGTCCTCCCCCCCACCTTTCACTTTCATGTGGCTCTGTTTGTATTAGGTCTTCCTTTTTACCTGGTAATTGACCTGTCAAGTGGGTCCCCAAAGTAATGCTTTGCAAAGCATCAAGCAGGCTGTATTAAGAGTCCATTTGCTCATCTGTGACTAGGGACAGATAGAAGGCTACTTCTAAATAGTGGATTTCTCCATAGCAGTGCAAAGCCCAGTCTGCTTTCCCAGCACAATCCTTTCACTTGCAGCCACAGAAAATCGCCTCTGAAGACACCAAGATGTCCTCACTGGAGATTGTATTTACTTTTAGATTCCAGCTCAAAGACACCTGATCTTGCACTGTAATCCCAGCAGCACTCCCAAGCTAAGTAAAGTTTGGCTGGATCATTGTTTGTGTGCAAGATCCTTGAGGAACTTATAGGGTTGCAGTAAGTGCTGCCAGTGATCTTAGGTGATGCTCTTCTCTCTGAACAGTGGGTCCATGTCTGAAAAAGGTCTGTGCTACTAGATATGATGCCCTTCAGATGAGTCACTAACCTGAGATCCAAGCCACTGGTAGTCACTCAGGTCCTATATCACTTTCTACAACAGGAGAGTTTTAACCTTACTGTCCTGGCCATATTCCACCTCCACTAACATATACGCTCTGCTCTCTGCTGTATAGTGTTTCTGCGTGGTGTTGAGGAGCTGTCGTGCTCTGTCCCAGAGTGGCAGCATTTCAGTCATGGGTGAAGTGATATATATCTTTTTTTTTAAGTTTGTAAAATATTCTTGGAAAGGACTTAGAGCAGCGATTCCCAGTCTGTGGTATGGGTACCACCAGTGGTACTCAGACAACCTGTCGGCAGTACGAATTAACAGATTTATTATAATTATTTTATATGACAAAAGTTATATTATACTTGAAGTTGAACTGAAAAAACTTGCTGGTGATACTTACAGTTGTATCATTTTAAATTGGTGGTGCACTATCTGTCAGAGTTTGGGAGCTGCTGGCTTAGAGCTTTTCTACATAAGGAAATGTAAGGGCATTATTATAATGATATAATTAAACAAGGGACTTTTGTCAAATTACTTTTTGTCACTACAAGCTAAACTGAAAAGAGAACCCAGTCATTACAAATTGCAGTGTCCATGTGAGGAGTTATAGCAGTTGAATTAATCAGTTTCTTACAGGCAAACTCTTATTACTTGGGAGAGTCATGAGCAGGTGAGTAGGTCAGTGTTTTACCCCATAGATATTTTCAAGGTTAACATTTAACATTTTTCCTGTTTTGAAGAAATGAAACACCATTTTGAATCCTATTTTATATTATTTAGAGGACAATAAGCAATTAAACCAAATCTGTTAAGTGTGTATATTCTTCTTTTACAGAATATTATGAGAAGAAGTCAGGATTTGATTCAGAAATATATAAAAGTGAGTAAATGATTCCTCACTGTTTGTTTCTTGCTGGGGCCTGCTGGTACCTTCAGACAAGGTGTGCCTCCTTCCACTTGCCTGATTCTATACAAAAAGCACCACCCATACTCAGTGCTGTAGCTAGTGAGTAACAATGCTAAACTGCTGGTCTCTATTATGACTCCATGTTTTCACTCTTGGTTCATAGGATCACTCATTGGGAAAGAGGCAGATTTTGCCTTTGCACTGAAACCCTTGTTCTCAAGAGAGAAGGAACCTTTCACCCTCTCCTGCTACTTTTCTTCTGATTTACTTGAGCATCAACGGGACGTCAGCTGGTTCAGAGATGGTGTGTATTCCTACATATCAGCAATTCTTGTTTTTATACCTCCTTGAGCCTGTATGCTGCAGTTTAATGCTT